AGTCCACTCGGGTCTGCGTACGACCTTGCCGTAATCACCACACCTATCAGTTACACCCATCCTTTTTTTTTTGATGCTGGGCACTCTCTGAGTCTGCGCCTTCCGGACGACACTGCAACGAAAACTCTCACTGCGTCTTAGTGCGCTGTTGCATTGACAAGTCACTCTCAGTTACGTATAATTTCGAAGCTCCCTCTTGAGTCTTATTGGATGTGCTGATGCGGCCCTCGTTATCATGGCTTGAACAGACTCGTCTAATATTGGTTCGCACTTGTCCATATATATCGGTAGGGATCCATTGTGTTGGGCAAGTGCTGTTGGTGCCTGGTAAGGGTGGTATACCCTTTGGTACCAGGTCTGGCAGGCTACTGTCAGCATTATCATTCAACCAGATTTTACATCTCCAAACAAAAGCTACCGGACACACGTGCGCCCATATTCCAGTGTCTGCGCAGTGAAGATAAATGAGAGCCCTCCCTCCCGACCACCCTTCACGCAATCGCATCTCTTGCCTCAGGGATCTCATGTCCCTCCGTCCGTGCCGCCTCCCCGTACATCAGCAGTCCAACATAGGGCATCACGTTATACTTGAGTGAAAATGTGGCAGGGGATGTATTCCTGTATCGAAACGCCAGAGTGATTGTCAGAGACACGGTCGTCGGGTCAGCAGCGGGCACAGTGAAAAGATGGCATGATGGGTTAGTGATGAAACCACGCTGGCCAGCAGGTAGAAATGAGAAGAAGCTAAATTAGGCGAACTTGCATCATGTAACGGAAGCTACCACACCTCAGCTAGGGCAGAAAAGAAACTTTGTATGACGCAACACATGCGAGGAATGGAGAGAAGCAATGGATAAAGGATTGAACGTAGAAGTGAACGACGTGTCATTGGCGCTTATCATGACACGTGTGCATGTGCAAGCATCGCAACGTCACTCACAGCTACCTGTGGACAAGCAGCACAACAGAGAGGACACTGACACGCGGCACATCCCTGGTTGCAATGCACTCCGGATAAACGAATGAATGAATGAAACGAGATGAAAAGACAATCGACCACACCATAAGAAGCACTAAGGGACCACTCCAAAAGTGATCGCAGCACATCAATCCAAAACCCAGGTGACACACCCACATGCCAACACGGAAAGCAGAGGAAGATAAAGAAAGGCTCACTTGAAGGATTCATACAGCTCTTTAAGCTTATACTTGTTGCGTCCGGAGGCTACCACAACATGGGCGTCCTCTTTCCGACGGACTATCCGATCCCAAAGGACGATGGTGTTGTTCACCTGCTCTTCGACAGGAATGCGATCGAGACCGAATGGAAAGCAGCATGGCGGTGGGGGCGCACAGGTATTGAAAATTGAAATAGAACATATCATGACAAAAACGATCAGTAATGTTTAGTGCTGCAAAGCTTCAATAAAGGCAGATAAACTGTGCATAAAAAGAAGGCTCGCTCGCACTGCAGCGCGATACGGATCATGCAACGTTTCCATGCCCAAAAGAGGGCGTAGACAACGCTCTCCTAGACGTGGAGGACACGTGTGGAGAACATGCAAAGCTAGTAACATCATGGAGGACAAAGACCACTCACTCCTTGCGTGTTCGCATATTCTGCTTCGAGATACACAAAGAGCTGCTTAGTATTCCAGTGGAACAAGGGGCTAAGGTCTGTGTTCGAACGTCAGCGTGTTCGACAGTTGCGTCATGCGCCAAGTGATCCGTAGCAAATCGAAGCATAGATTAAACGAGCGGAACGGGGAAGGAATTTTTTAGTTTCGAAGAGCCGGAGGAATAGTGACCCGGTATAGTGTGGGTCAAACAGAATGGAAGAGTACGAGCACGACGATTGAGGTCAAACATTGGTTAGTGGCACAGTTGGCGTAATTGCCATGGCAAGAAACGAACGCGAATGAAATCGAATCGGGTAAGACAGAGAATGAACACAAAGGACGAAATAGCGGAGGATGTGGACGGACCAGCATCGATATCGAATTTAACAAACCCAAACTCCTGCTCTTTGAAAGGATAACGCTTGGCCTTGGCATTGTAACTGTCCGTGCCATATCCCAACACACGGGGTGGGCGTCAGTGAGCTTGGCGAATAAAGGATACGCAGATTAGCGACCCGTACTGACACTTTGAGTGAGACAACGTCGATCTTTCCTTTGGGATCTGCAGTTGCAAAGAGGGAGGACAGCGCGACCGCAGCAAGGAGCACCATGAGACACGTAGAAAAGAGCGACGAGACATTGTTGATACGCGCGAGGGCACTATGCATGTTGGGGTGCGGCTAGGTCCAGGAAGGCCTGGTGGATCTCACAGCAAGTCTGAGCAGCTCGGACGAGGCCCTCGGTGGTCGTTTGTGGAGAACGTGTCGGACGGCGGCTCATAAACCCCCTTTGGAAGGAGGTTGACGTCAACTACTAGTGCGCGTCTCCTACTGTTGCAGTCCTAAGCTAACCTTGGATCATTTAGTCTCTCTGACCATCGTACTGGGGTTCGTGGTATCATGATGTCCTGAAGCTGGAGCGATAGCCCAGGACAGAACGTAACTGGCCAATGTGATTGAACGACAATGCAGAACGGAATTCGCAGTAGCAACTCCACATTCAGATGGGGGGTCTTCTCTTATCTAGAGACAATCAACCGAACGCGAAGTCAGCGATCCAGCCACATCTACTCATTAATGCGCTGACTCGTATCCCGAATGGGAACGCCTTCCACTCGATTAGTTCATTGATACGTTTCATTGCATATGGTGGCGGCGCAAATATGCAATATGAGCGCGATCGCAGGCCCAGCTTTCGCTCACCCGAATATCCCCACCCATAAGGCTCAAGTTACTGGATCGTACGATGTCTTTACGCAGGCGAATCCGGATCTGCTGGATACCAGAGAGAGATCTTGCTCCTCAACCGGGTCTCTTCTCTCTCCAAGCCACTCTGCTGCCTGGGGCACCAGAGGGCTGACAACCGAAAATGCCCCCAGACGATGCGCATTCCCGTCGAGGTGGTCTTGTGCAGTAATCACCTGATCCTATCCACTGGTAAGTGGGCACTACTGCCAAGGGAGGCTGCAACGTGGTTGTTACTTTGAATTCACATGATATAGGATGCTGCTGCTGCCGCATCATCATCGAGCTGATGTCTTCAGAGACATGACACCAACGTCAGGTTGTAATATGCTGTCCAGTGACTGAACCTTGCGGTGTGAGAGCGTTCATACCTAGAGAAAATGGACTTGTCATGCGCCCAAATCTTGAACTTGCCTTCAGGGCTGTAGTACGTGCATTGTTCCTTCAGAGAAGCCACGTCTCGTCATTAATCTCCTCTCTTTAACCCCGCGTTTCTATGCTCGATATGGTATTCCTGTCGCAGAGAATGGAGACTACACGCGCATGTTATACAAGCATGTTGATGCTGCGCTACTATCAGCGCACCGTAAAATGCCGCAGCTATACGACCCTCTCCAATTACGCGTCAAACATGTGCAACAGGTAATTGATTGATTCCTGGCATTTTCTCGAAATGCGCGATTCATTTAAAAAAATGCAAGTCAGTGGCTCAAGAAAAAATATCTACTGTCAAGGAGAATGCGATTCCCTGGCTTTGGGCGTACGTACACTTCTATCAACCATCTCACCACGCCCGGATCTTCCTGCTTATATGGATCATGCCATGCCATTACGCTCCTAAAAAAATCTCATTCGGGAGTTCGCTGAGCATACGCTACCCTTCCCATCATTGGTCGCGTGTGACAGTCCTCGATTGGGCCGCTATGGCTTATCTATGGTCAGCCAACCGTGAATTTCTATCAATGGTCTCTAAGGTTTACTAATTTATCAATGCAGCCATTTCTCAATTTCATATGCGAAAATTCATTTATCTTCTGTTAGATGAACCAATCGCAGCAACATGGTTACCAATCTGCTTAGTGAACACGCTGAGCGATTGATAACCACTCATGTCAAGTTTTCCATTCGGAAATGACCACTATTGCACGCTCTTGATCTGATAAGCATGCAACGGCAGACCAGCCCTCCACCCTACCCAGTTCTTGACGGATACGGACAGACGGGAAGAATTAGGGCCACCGGGAATGCAGTTGGCAGCCTTGCATGACCGACCAGTGCGCAGACTGGTTATTCTTGGCAAGGGACAGATACATATCACCAATGCCAGGTACGGGAGTTCGATTTTTAGAATATAGTATGGACCTGCGAGTTTGTTTCGAGTCTTCAGATCGCACGTGAATTGCCCCATGGTGACTGTGGCAGAAGAGCACAAACGAACGCCTGCTGCATGCGTCAAGGATCTGTCAATCCACGTTGCGGTACTTCTGGCGAGGTTTGAATCACCATTCACCGTGCCGCGTTTTGTGATACCAGATAGGTGACACTCTCCTGTAAACCGATGCCAATGATTGGTCGCCTGAAACTCGCTTATGGTGTCGTGCGTTCAAAGCCTCCTCCCCACCGGAAGACAGCGAGGGACTCCGTCCGAGTCGAACGCTACCCTCTGAAAAGCTTACTCACATATTTACTAACTCCAGACTTGCCATCAGCGCTGACAACCATGCAAACACCCTCATGTGGTCGCCATGGTGCCGCCGGCCTGCAGCAGAGAAATGGAACGCACGGCATGACATGTGCTGCTCCCAAATTCCGTTTGGTGCCCAATGTTTGTTACTCGGTGCAGGTATCATGGTCAGTTCCGAGTATGACACAACCACTGTCTCGGGTTTTGCCTTCAACCGACATCCAATCAGGAATCGCCAGCCCGCAGCAAGGATGCCATCAATATTGACTTGCTTTTAGCCTCGTTTTCTCCAGTAAGTCCATCATAGAAATGTTCTGATGGTCTCGCTCGGGCGAACCGCCCGTTGATTATCTGTCGTGTGTACAGCAGGCGCGGCTATCTTGCCAACGACGGGCACGGATGGGCACGGCTTTGGCCGTTTGCAAAGAAAACGGATGGACTCATGAACCTGATTACTGCTTCGCTCCAACGACTCTATAACACTGTCGTTAAATATGGCTAGATGAAGTCAATCTGCAACCAACTTTCAACAGCTCGGCCATTGCCCTGATATGCACGAAGGACATGAATGGCACAATGGGCACAAGTGTTCAGTAGTACCCCACCTCTAGCACGCATCACCGTGAATCCTACAATCGTCTACTCCACCTCGACGCTGCTTGGCACCCAAACCAGATCCTCACCGCCCTCACCATTATCACTCGGGGTTGGCGTGCCTTCTTCACTGCTAAGCGCGGCATCCCACCGTCCTTCAATTTCCTCTCGCTCTAACACAGGAATCTTCGCCCCCTTAGACTTCAGGAACGCGGTGACTTCCCCTATACGTCTGTACCCCTTGGTTTCGGTCTTCTCGTCTCCCGGACTGTCACCGCCTTCACTCGCGGCCTCGACTTCCTCAACCGATCCAAATCGTCTGGCGAGATGCAAGCTTGCAACCACCCTCTTTTCATCTCCTCCCGTTTCAAGTTGCGCAAAAAAACTTGCAATTGCACGCACAGCCTCGCCTCGCGCGTAGAGGACGTGACGCATGATTCTTCGTGACGCAGGCCGCTTCCGTCTAAAACTGACGGAAGGTTCAGTCGCCTGAGCAGGAAGAGAAGGCGACGATAAATTTTTCCTCTCTATCCAAGGACTTTCAGCTGGGATGTGGGGCGTCTTGTATTGTGCAAGCGCTGCCAGTGGCAAATCCCAGCGCTTCGGGGCCCAGACACCCACGAGAACCTGCCATGCGGCTATAACTCGTTTCAAACTGTTTTGGGTGGAATGCGCGAAATAGTTGTTAATCAGTGTAAATTTCTGGCCCAAAAAACCACCTACTGCATGTAGTTGTCTGTATCACCCATAAAACAACCACCGTACAAATAAGAACATAACATCAGTAAACAAAATAAGACATTGGTAAGACGAAACCTACCATTGACAAGCCTCGTGTGATAGTAGGCGAACGCCCATACAGTCAATGCGGCCACCAGAGCACCGGTACTCGAGTAACTCAGCACAGCCCAAAGTATCCAGAAAGTCGCAGGGTAAATCAACAATAGCAATAACAATGAAACGACAACTTTGTTTTGAGCTTGGGTTTCCTCCTCGTGTTCAGTTAAACGAGCAGCTCGTCGACCTATGATGTACACGGGAAAATGAAGGAGAAGTGGAAGGAAGAAAGTTGGAAGCCGTATTAGTGCAGCAAGGGTGTCACGCATGAGAATTGAGAGAGTAAAGAGTCGTGATGGAAGTGGTGTCGGGTGTGTCGGGGAAAGAGTGGCAGGGAGACGGAGGGAAGCCAGGACAGAATTCGTGAGGTGCGTCGATTGGAGAAGAGAATAATACTCCAGGAGATGGCGACGCACGGAATTGTAATTTGATGTGGCATCCTTGGTAGAAAAAAGGTCCACAAGGCTGCGCCAGACAACGTTAGCAACTAAGCATAACGACGTGGGAGAAAGAAAACGTACGTCTGAGAGACGGTCACGAAGTCGTTGAGATCAATGGATCGTTCCTTTTCCCAAAGTAAATCCCTTGCCATCCCAGCGATGTACAGTGTTTCCCTAATCAGGTAGCGTGAGCCCTCGTACATTGTGATGACACAGAACAGACCAGTCAGGAGCGTTAATGGTCGTTTCTACAAGTTGTCGCTCGATGGCCCGCGTCAAGCGCTTGACTGCTGAGCGTGGACTGCCTTCGAAATCTAAGAATCGTTCCTTGTACTCGCCCACGGAGATGGGTTGACCAAACCTGCATTCTGCATGAGTGGACCGGCAGCTATCAAAGTTACATGCCCCTACTCCATGATCACCTGTTGCCAAGCATCGTCAACACTACTTTTCTTTCATCCAGGAACCCTAACTCACATCACTTCTGTACTTGGATTTGTTCGTGTACACGATGGCGGCAGGGATGATCTTAACCTCCGGCCCCTTGAGGCCATATTCGTCCGCCCACTTCGTATACTCGAGGGCAGCCCAGGCTGCACCATCCTTCACTTGCATTATTCGAGGCTCCGTGTAGGACGTTCCCTCGGGGAAAAGGGCAACAGCTTCACCACGGGCCAGCGCATCAAATGTCCCTCGGAACAAAACTTGCCTATCCTTGGACTTGCGATCCACAGGGATATTCCCAGAGGAGTAGAGTATGTAGGCAAGAACGCGGTTATTGAACAAGGACGCTGCAAGTTGAGGTTTGATGCCGACAAGCCCAGGGATTAGAATAGATCCAGTTACCTTTGGACCAATAATTCAGTATACGCCCATGAGGGAAGCATGACGCTGCACAAAACGGCTTCAACTACGCAATACCTTGCAGATAAACGCTGGCTTACAAAGAATAGCCGGGTCCAAGATCATATTGTGATGTGTCGCCGTGCTAGACACAAACAGCAGTCAGTACTTGAGTGGAAGGTTGTGCCTATATGCAAATCCCCAAAATGTAGCCGGATGCAGGACACAGCTCGCACGCGAGATGATCGTGCAGCAGCCAACTTTCGTAGTAGCTACCTTACGAAAAGCAGTCCAGCTAGTCGCTTTTCGTAAGGGCTTCTCTTGGGGAGAGCAGTCGGCAGGGAGAGACCTCTTCATATTCACAGGCTGTGGCTCACTTACACGATGATTGGACCATCCTTTGGCACGTTTTCAGCGCCGACCACGCGTACTTCCGTGAAGAACGACCATACGGACCAACCAGCCAGCCGTCGTATAACCCGATGTAGAGTCTTGGCATCTGACATGCTTTGCTGGTTCGCTGGAAGGCTTGTTGGAGGGGGAGATATGGCAGGATTTCACGAACAAAGACCCTGGCGTTTATTCGACGGCGCGAGGTGCTAAAGGAACACGGAACAAGTTTGGCCAAGGTCAGCTGAAGAAGCGAGGCAATGAGAAAATATACGTCGTGTTATAATTCGAAGCAAGTGTACGGAGCGTGATTTTTCCGGTTGCTTGGCAGTTGGGCGCTGGTGCGCTACTTGAGACTGTTATTGGGCTGTAGCCCGTGGTGCTACGATCGCTTCGCCCCGAGTTGCTCCCTCAAGGCCTCTCCAAAGCCGTAAACATGCCTATAATATCACGTCTAGCCAGCGTATGTATGTCCCCCTCAAAAACATCGCAAGTCGCGTTCAAGCACAGCCTCGAATATCCGTGCCTTTGATAGTAGAATTGCACGCGGCGAAATATTTCTATACATACATCATGTGCAGGGGGAACTCAACACCAGTTGAAACTCTTCTCCTTAGTAGGCACAATGTGCGGACAGCCTCCACCACTAATCCAGGGCTGTGCAGTTGAAGAAATTAGAAGGTTTGGCCTGATCTTGGTTGTACCGGTGGACATGGCTTTCACTGCCGGCATCGCAAGGCTGTACTGCAAAACCAGTGAAAAGTGTATGAGGAATATCAAACTATCCCGCCAGCAATGACGGTGGGACAATCAGGAGTAGCCCATCATATATGCTTCACGTTCATTCGGGAATATATGTCCTACATGTGTGTCACATTTGTGTTTTGGTAGGTTCTTCATATCTCCAGATTTGGGTTTGTTTTCTAAATGCTCGTGTTCGGATGGGCTATAGCACAGTCCCAAGAAAAGAGGTGTGTAAAAACAGGTGACGGATTTCGGAATTTCTCTCCCTCGGCGAGTTTGCGGTCTTGCTTTTACTGAGCATTTGACATCCCATTGTCTCCGATCAAAAGCACACGCTAGGATCGGATGCGATCGCTATTGAACAAAAATCAGAGCAGCTGAAGAAGAAAGTCATCAAGTGGCTCACGTTGGCCAAAATAAATCCAGTGTGCGGGATTAACTCCTGAAGAAGCTATCCGTAAAGTTAGATGCAGCTCAGTACTGGAACTTAAGGAACGTCAACTCACGGACGGACGCACTGCCTCCTGGGTCTTCGTTTCCTCGACAACGCTTTACATGCTCGGGTGCCGCTGTGGTGGGTTCGACAGAGACAAGTCCACATAAAGATATAGACTAGAATTACAACTTTAGAGAAAAGGTCAGCCTCACGCAGTTCCATAAATTGCCAATACTCCGTCGCACTGTATAAGCACATCCATTGCCAGTCATTCAGTTTGTCCTAACCGGGAGCCAGTGATCCAAATTTCCCACTTACTGATGCTGGTATCCGAGACTAGTCGGTATCATGGTTGGAACACCGTCTTTGGAGGACTTCATGAGTGCTTTACTGTAGTCCACGCAACCATATACCATACCGATAGAGTGTACTCCTGCACGCCAGTAGGACGGATGCAGTTCAAAAAGACGGATGCGGCAGATTTGTAACCTGGAACCCACCTCGATATACGTTTTCCGAACCAACCATCTTCTCGACCAAGGCAGCGTAAGCGGAGTCGCCTGTGCGCGGTTGGCCTGTACAGAAGCATACATATGCGCGCATTGGCTCGACAAGGAAAAAAGCACTGACCAATGGTGTACAACCTCGCGGTCGCCGCTGGGTATGTATTTCGGATTGCGATCGACGCTATACTTGCGACTGCCCCCTACAACTCGAGCGCAAATCGAGGAACACCTGAAATTAAGGCTAGCTACGGCATCCTGCCAGGAGAACTCACTCCCAATGAATGACCTGTGGTTTCTCTCTCTCTCAACAATCATCTACGCCAGGGGAATAAGACGTACCAGTCATAACCACCGCGTACATGGGGTACATATTGATCTGCAATCCTACGATATCGAGCAGGACTTGGGCGATGCTTTGGTACGCAATAAGGAATCCCGTGTGGACGTGAGGTCGCTTCGGATGCTTTGACGACGTGGATTGCACATGTGAAGGCGGCAAGCCAGTACCTTGAAGTGGGGTAAGTATCACGGACCCATCTGCGGCATCACAAGATAAGCCAGTGCAACATGACTGGAACCATTTTTTTTGCACCAATGAGAATGCTAATAACATCTTTACTGCCTCTGAAAGCGACAACGATCTCCTTGCGTTTGTCGTCTCTCGCTACGAAACCGCGAGTTGTTGTAACAACGCTTGTAAACTGAGACAGAAGGAAGGACATTCATCGCATGTATACGCGGAAACAGGGTACATACCTGCCCAACGAGTGTATTGCCCATCGGACGAGGACACATGGGTTGATACGCAGCCGATGCGTACCTGGTGTATAAAACTAAATTGTGGTATGTTTTTTGGTCGATGCCTGTACTGGGGTCATCTTCACGGTGAAATTGCGGCCAGGGCCAGGGTCGTCCTGTGGTCGGCGTACTGCGATTTTCCAAAGAACTTGGTCCATCACTTGGTTCATTGTGAGCCATGGGGCCAATGCGATGAATACAAGACAGAATCGAATGAATTCGAAGTTTCAATAGGCTTATCTCACTGTAGGGCTTCGGCCTGATGATCACGGGTATGTTCTCAGATGATATTTGTTTCATGACAGATTCAATCAGTTTCATTTGTTTCCTTTGATCCTACGCGTACCCCGCTCATCTACGTTGGTATTTTCGTACCTACTTCCTACGGTATAAAAAGGCCCGTAAAACATAAAGGACGGGGACTTCTTTTCCCCCTACTTCGAATACAGACCACAGCCTGGATCATCGAGTAGCGCGACTTAAGAAAGTCTTGTTGTGCCTGCGTTGCAAGTATCAAACTTCGCATTGAAGTCACACTCACGGATTAGTACCGTGACAATCAATAACAGGTTCCTGCGGAGCGACATAATCAGCACCCATATGTATGTAACGTCAATGTGTCTCGGCGGGTGGATGGCAGGGTCAAGGATAACGGTGAGCGTCATCAGCCGGGTAACAGCGGCAATGACTTGAACAATAAACGAGTGTAAGTAGCATCACCATTGTCAGCTCCATCGCGACCATCAACGGCATAGTACTACAGGAGTGGCGATATTGGTTACACAGTTGAACACACAACGGAAGGCATGAGACGAATGTAAGATAAAGAAGGGAGCCTCAGGCCTCAGGCCTACCAGGCATACCGCACCCCTGAGTCTACACAGAACCGGAGAAGCAGTCGCGTGAATGAAAAAGCAGCTAGTGAACCTTCTACTCAGAGCGAAGGAAGGGACGTGAAGTGATGTCCGGAATATTGTCCAACGGAGGGCTCAAGAACGGCGAGTCCCGTGATACGGTGTTAAGGGTTTTGTCGACGACACGATGTAGTCTGTACTTAGGTACCAAAGGTTCTCCGCGTCTGGTGATTTGATGAACAAATGGATGGTGCTATTCATGTCCCCGCAGTCGTAAGTTGTTCACGGGTTTTGAACGGACTGGCTCTGATCCCCGCACTAACGGAGAGCTTAGCTGTACTAAGGGACGTATTTGATTTTACATTCGTACATACCTTGCATTTGCAAGCTTCTCTGTACACGTTCCGCATCTGTTGGGAATCCAGCTATGGTGATCGGAGGTCAACGGGGATCAAAGACGCTGAATTTGCGTATCAACTAACTGATACTTACCATCTTGGAAAGGTTTCTTAGTGACAACGGATATAGAGAGATATGAAGTCTTCGAAATGCATGTGCACCAGTCCGCTGGGCAAATGGGCGTCGCAGCAGGGTCATTGTAGGGTCGTCACCTGTTCCTATGATACGCTACGACAAACCTCGGGGAATAGAGAACAAAGGACATGCCGATACGTATGGCACTTGTATTTGCTGTCCGTGACAAGGTCATTGTCCAGCAGAAGTTGGACCAATACATCATGTAATACTCTGTAGTGTGCAACCGAGAATGGCAACCGACTGTGTATTGCGTTATATATGGTAATCAGAGCAACAATACCATTCTCACGCACGGACCACCTCTGAAAAATATATAGGCCCCACCGCGACATACTTGTCTCTTCAGAACATACTCAGCTAGGATCTATTTTATAGAAACTAATTCGAGTCTCGCATGTTTACACATGCCACATCCTTCAAATCCACTCGATGACGTCTGCACTCGCTCGTTTAACAGAGAACATTGTCTCCGCTTCGGTGGAACTTCGAGGACGTTTGGTTCTGTGCTTTGCTGGGTTGCTCGCAACTTGGTGAACCCAAACCAGCGAGTCGAGTGTCTATCTGATGGATTTCTTTTGGGTGCCCTCATGTGGTAGATATATTTCCAAGTAGTAGAATGTATTACATTATAGTTCAGTTTGAAAATTGTGCTTCCCTGCTATTTTTGTGGTCTCATGTTAATGTCCCCATGTCACTGTGATCTTCATTAGAGGGAATAACTGTAGGAAGTTGGCTGGAAGTGATATTTTACATTGATACAAAGGTCTGATCCTGTAATGATTTTTGATACTGATAAGTATGTGATTTTGAGGTCATGCCTGGTTATTCCTGCAGCATGAAATTCTCTCATTCTGTTTTTTCATGGCTCTCAAATAATGCACTTCAGTATGGATTCTTCGTTGTGCTGGCCCTGTCGATAGCGTCGTCGTCGTTGGCCGGCCACCTACGAGAGCGCAAGCTGAGGAGAAGAAACTTTTTGACGCATCCTACTGAGGTCAATAGATGCAGCGAGATTCTGGATGGTGTGACTGGGCTCATTGGTACATCTCTTTCTTTTCATCATTCCAAAACTTTTTGTACCGACCGGTACTTAGGGAACACACCGTTGGTGAGGATTAGCTCCTTGAGTGAGGCACTTGGTATCGAGATACTTGGCAAAGCTGAGGTGAGCTTTGCCCTCCGGAGGGTCTGTCAACTTGTTGAGGTCATTCTGACCGACTTTAGTTCCTCAATCCTGGAGGTTCTGTCAAAGATCGTGTCGCTCTGCGAAGTAATCTTATCCAAAAGTTGCCGTTTTCACGGAGTTGCTGATGCAGACTGGGCCTGCAGTGATTCAGGATGCTGAACGGCAAGGATTACTGCACCCTCGGACAGGCTTCCGCATATTTGAGGGAACTGTGGGATCTACAGGCATTTCGATAGCGACTATTGCCAGAG